CCGCGTTCGAGGGAGATCAGTCGATGGAGACAACTGCAGAAATGCACACCGCCGTGACAAAAGATTCTGCGGTTTTATGATATGTTGGAATCTCCTATCCCTCTGAGGACTCCTAACATTGGCATGCGTCCTCCGCGATCCCGCGGAGTAATTCGTCTACCTCTAATTAATAACATTGCTATCTCAAAACAGGATCGGAAATTACTCCGCCCATTCCTATATGAAAAATGGGACGGGGTGCGTGTCCACGCGGAGTAATTTCTACTCCGCCCACTCCGTTTACTCCGCCAGTCTTGGGTCATGTTGAATGAAGACCGCATAGTACTTTTGTCACGGCAATGGGGAAAAATGCGTTGCACTTCGTTTTCCCTCGGCTGCATCCACCTCAGGCTAGACCATGTATGCTCGCGCCGACAGGGATGAAGCGATGGTTTTCGTCGTCGTCGCCGTGCACCGTTTCGAGGGGGGCGCCATTCGCCATCGTTGCTGTTGCCGCAGGGTGCAAGCGCGCGTGCATCCTCTTCCCGCGCTACCTTTCCAGAAAGTACGGAAGCTGGCCATCGTGGCGACTGCCGCGACGCAGGTCGCAGGCGAGGTTCGCGGACGCGGGCCGCGTCTTACGGGTCGCTTGTCGCAGGTCGCAGGCGCGAGTCGCTAGCGCGGGTCGCGGGCCTTTGTCGTGGTCGCAGGTCGTGGCTCCGCAGGAAGCTCAGGTTGATGGGCTTGGACGACCTGCGGAAGAAACGCCGCCCACTGGGGAAAACTGCGCACACCGCAAGGGTGAAGCAGGTTCTGAAGACCGAGGAGGCCCAGACGGTGGCCAAGAACGTCGCAGGGCGATTCCGCAAGGCTTGCAAGCAGGTGGTGGACCGCGGCGGGGCTGCGGCCGACAATTGACTGGGGGGGGGGGGGGCAGGAGCGCCGCGGGAGTCTCGCCGCAGCGAGCGAGCGAGCAGGGCCCCTGCGCAGGGGGCACGGCCCAAACTGGCCCCTCGCTCGGGCGGCCACCCCCCATGCACTTTTCGACTTCGTGCGTGCATTTCTTCGCCAGGTGGCCCAAGATGCTGGTGTTCGCCGAGAAACATGCTAGAAGATGACTAACGAACCCTACCCCTACCCTCCCCTTCAGAAATCGTGAGGGTTGGAGTAGGGTTCGCATGTGGCCCCCAAGCGCACATACGAGCGACACGAAGAAAAGAGAAGGCTTGGGCTTCCCATTTGGGGCTCCCCCGTCTACGGAGCCCCGAGCCTCCCAAACAACGGCATGGCCAAACTTCGAAGTCGGCGTTCCCCGTGCCTCCGTTCTCGGGGATCTGCTGACCCGTGCCAATGCCGGGTCAGTGCAAACCCGGGTCAGTCAGGCTCTGCAAGATCCGGCTGCACGCAAACCTGGGTCAGTGCACCCCTGGCCCTGCAGCATCCTGCAAGATCCAGCGCTCTGGCTTAACAGGGGATATGTCGACCCCTATCCCAGGCTTCATGGGGTTTCCGAATGGACCAGAAATTTGGGGCCTAACCCTGGGATATACGATGGGGGGGTGTCCATTCTCGATAGGGGTGCGTCCGAACAGCCCCCTTGGGGTGTATCCCCCTTGGGGTGTATCCCAGGGTTTTCCCATTCTTCTGAGCGGCCAGACTTTTCGGGCGAAACTCGGGGATTGGGGGAGAAACATCGCCCGCGATGGCTGACCCCCGTTTGCGTTGACCCCCGTCTCTTGAGCCCCGCCGTTCGCGGTGGCCCCGCCTCCGACGCCCTCAAGCGAAAGTACGGTGACGGTCTGGCGGGGCCGGCCCTCGGAGGGCGGCGCGCGGGGGGGGGCGGGAGCCGTCGGGAGACAGCCCGGGTGCCTGGAGGTCGAGAGGCGGAGGCTCCCCCTCGCTCGGAAGTCCATGCCCCGTGCGTTTCTCGATACCGCGCGTGTTATGTTTCGCAAGGTGATCCAGGATGCTCCTCGGTGGTCCTCGCCCCCCAAATGTGCACATATCCGAGCGATGCCGAGCTGAGGTGATGTGGAGAGTCGGCCTTCCCTCCTCCTCCTCCTCCTCCTCCTCCTCCTCCTCCTCCTCCTCCTCCTGCTCCTCCTCCTCCTTCTCCTCCTCTTCCTCCTCCTCCTCCTCCTCCTCCTCCTCCTCCTCCTCCTTCTTCTCTGGTGGTTGCCGCTTCGGGGCGGCTGAGGGACCACGGGTGCTGCTGAGCTGGGTACCGCCGTCCTTCTCCTCCTCGTCGCCCTCGTCGCCGTCGTCATCGCCGTCGCCGTCGACTTCGTCGTCGTCCTCGTGCTGGTTGTCGCCAGCGGTGCCCTCGTCCCTCGGTGATCCTGTCCCTGGGCGTCGTCGTTGTCCCAGTCGTCGTCGCTGAGCGTCCCCGTCGTCCTCGCCGTCGCCATCGTCGACGTGGTCGTCGAGAGCGCTGCCTTTTCTGCGGCCGGCGTCGGCGGGAGTGGGCCCAGGCCGAAGCGACGCCCTCGCCAGGCTTGCGCTGGCTGTGGCCGCAGACAGACGGGGAGGCCACCGCGCAGGGCAGAAGAAGCCGCCTGGAGGGAAGGTGAGGTTCGCCCCCGATCTCCTCCTCCTTCTCAGCCTCCTCCTTTTCCACATCCACCTCCTCCTCCTCCTCCTCCTCCTCCTCCTCCTCCTCCTCCTCCTCCTCCTTCCCTCCTATTCCTCATCCTGTTCCTCCTCCTCCTCCTCCTCGTCATCATGATGATCATCATCATCATCATCATCATCATCATCATCATCATCATCACCACCATCATCATCATCATCATCATCATCAGCAGCAGCATCATCATCACTACCACCCTCATCCATCATCATCATGATCATCATCATCATCAGCATCATCATCATCATCATCATCATCATCATCATCATCATCACAATCATCATCATCATCAGCAGCAGCAGCATCATCATCACTACCACCCTCATCCATCATCATCATGATCAGCATCATCATCATCATCATGATCATCATCATCATCATCATCAGCAGCAGCAGCATCATCATCATCCTCATCATCCTCATCCTCATCCTCATCACCAGCAGCATCATTCTCGCCATCCTCCACGCCACCTCTTCTTCGGAACTCACCTCCTCATCCTCACCAGCACCCTTCTCCTCCTCTTCCTCGCCGTCCTCGGCGACCTTATGCTCATCCCTCGTCCTCCTATCTTCGTCCTCCTCCTCTTCCTGCTGATTATCATTTATCGTGGTGTTGTTCCTCATCATCCTCCTCTTCCTCATCATCATCGGCCTGGTCCTGCTCTTTATCGTGCCTTCCTCCTCGTCTTCTTCGCCCTTCCCCTTGCCTACTCCTCCCCCCTCCAGAAAATAATCGTCTTCATCCTCCTCCGCAAGCTCCTCCTCGTCCCCGTCGTCGCCCTCCGCAACCTCCTGACCGACATCCCCCCCTCTGCATTCTCCCCACTGCTCCATCGGGAATAAGGCAGACCGCAACCACTTGGGCCCGTTCACGAAGCACTCCGGACGGATTACAGCCACTGGATACGAATGATCGCAACTCGCGGGACTCCTGTTGGAAATGTACAAGTAGGACACCAGATTACAACTACAAAACCCCAAAACCCAAGCCCCAAAGCCCCAAACACCAAACCCAAAACACCAAACACCAAACCCCAAACACCAAACACCAAACCCCAAACACCAAACACCAAACCCTAACCACCGACCACGAGACACCAACCACGAGACACCAAACAACAAGCACCAAACACCAACCACGAAACACTCAACAACAAGCACCAAACACCAAACACCAAACCCCAAACACCAACCACGAGACACCAAACAACAAGCACCAAACACCAACCACGAAACACTCAACAACAAGCACCAAACACCGAACACCAAGCACCAAACCCCAAACACAAGACGCCAAACCCTACACACCAAACCCCAAACACCAAACACCAAACCCGAAACCCCAAACACCAAACACCAAACCCGGGAGGATTGCAAGAGGATTCCAAGATTCGCTCAAGGAGGGTTTCCAGCAGGATTCCAAAAAGATTTCAAGAAAATTCCAACAGGATTCCAAATGATGATCTCCCGGGGGGAGCCAGGAGGACTCCAAGGTTTGCTCCAGGGTTCCTGGCGGTTTCGGCTGGCTTGTCCGAGGTTTTCGAGCACCTCCGTCGGTCTCCAGGGGGCTCTCGGAGGGCTGCTGCTATGGGCTCCTGGAGGGCCGGGGACGCCTTCGAGGCCTTCCCACCCAGAGGTTTCTGAGCGGGGGACGGGGGGAGGGAAAAGAGAAGGGCTGGGGGAGGAGGGCAAAGGAGGGAAAAGGGAGGACAGAGGTTTATGAGAAGAGGGAGGAAGAAGAATGAAGGATGAGGGCGAGGAGGACGATGACCTGGACGCAAACACCTGCGCTTCGGTGCTTCTTGTGGGCACCGACCCTGCGAATCTTTAGGTGTCACTGTGCGGCACAAGACTACGAACTTGTGCTGGCTCTCCACCGCAACACTAAGAGAGCACCTCAGAGCTAATAAGCCAGATGCTAAACATCATGCGGCCTCAGCCACGCGAAGCGCGCTGCGGCAAAATCGGTGACGGCTCAAAGGCGCACTAGTGCACACTCCGTCTTCAACCCAGACTGCATGCAATGCTTCCGCCGCGAGCAACCCGCCGCATACAGCTGGAAAGGAGGAAGAGAGGGGGAAGATAGACAAGAAGACCGGAAGGACAGGGAATGCAAGGATGAAGTGGAGGGGGCGGAGGCAGCGCTGCAGGAGAGAGGAGGAAGAGGACGCTGCCTTCGAGGTCGAGGTGGAGGGCGGGGATGAGGCAGCGGCGGAAGGGTCTACGGATCGGGAGCCGGAGCCGGAGCCGCAGCCAGGAGGAAGGAGGCGGCGGAGGCAAAGATATAGTTTGTCGGCTCCCATCGTACTCAAGGACCACCTCCCAGAAATTGAATAGTTTCGAGCACCCAGAAGACCATCGAAAAGGTGCCGAACGAGTATCGCCTCCCAGGGCCCGACGCGTCAAAACCCTCTGGCCTCGGTACATTCTTGGTGCTCGACATTATTTCTGGTGGTCCAGGCTAGGAAAGCAGGCTGGGACCTCACAAAGATAGCGAGGTGGACCCCGACATCCTCGTCCTCCTCCTCCTCCTCCTCCTCCTCCTCCTCCTCCTCCTCCTCCTCCTCCCTAGCTCTTGGTGCTGGCGGTGATATACTTCTCGGCCACCCTGGAGGCCAGAAGTGTTAACCACCACCACCACCGAGAGCGGGATCCTCTTCTCCCTCGGTGGAGGCACACCGCCGAAACTGGTGAAGGGGCCCTGGGGCACACAAATAAATAGACACAAATTGCCAGATTCCCCATATTTCCCAATATTTTCTGGGTCTTTGTCTTTCCCCCCACTTCCAATATTTTCCTACATTTGCTGGGGAATCGACGATCAATTGTGTCTGTGTTTTTTCCCCTCCTGACTGGTGCTGGTGTCAACCTCTAGAGGCCTGCGACCTCTCTGCCGCGCCCAGGCCTCTGGAGGCCCAGGGCGACCCCGAGACACTCCGAGGAGGCCCGTCCCGGCGCGTGCCTCCGGGCTTCGTCGGCCCCTCCGGGGGCCGCTGCGGTTGGGGCGTTGACCCAAGGAACCCCAAAGGAGGAACGAGGCCCCTTTTTCCCAGAAGTGAAACTCCGATTTTCCATGGAAAACCTCCTCCTCCTCCCCCTCCTCCTCCTCCTCCTCCTCCTCCTCCTCCTCCTCCTCCTCCTGCTCCTCCTCCTCCTCCTGCTCCTCCTCCTCCTGCTCCTCCTCCTCCTCCGCATCCTCCTCCTCCTTCTCCTCACACACTTCCTCCGCCTACCCTGTCACGTTGTCCTGTAGTTCCTTCCTGTGATCACACACCCCGTCGCCATCGACGGCCAAGACATTCAGGGTCAGGGTCGGCGGCACTGGCCGTAAGGCCTTCACAATAAGGAACGAGTCCCCATTTTCCTATGAGTGAAACTCCGATTTTCCATAGAGAACCTCAGGAAAACCCTAGGAGCACTGTTAAACAACCAAGGAACACGGAGCCCCTCCCAAACGAAAAGGGCTCCTTCTTCAACGCCCCAACCTTATCTCGGGCCGCAGGACCACACAGTTTTTGTCGGTCGGGCACGTCCCCCTACAGGCGGATTCTTGGACGAGACCTGAAAAAGATTCCAAAAACGATCCGGAAGAATGCGAAAATAGTCGACTAAATCGGCCCCATCTATTATTTGTTGACTATTTCGTAGCCGTCCTGTGTTGTTGGGTCTTCGTTTTGAAGAGACAGCGCCCCGCGTTCCTTCCTTCCTCCTCCTCCTCCGCCTCCTCCCTCCAGCCATCCCTGCATCGTCTCTGTTTCGACACACCCCTCAAACGTTTCGTGGCCCAACAAGGATCTCCACCGAAGGTCTCAGTGGTGCAGCTCGCAGGTGGGCGTCGCGCCTGTTTCGGCACACCCCTCACACGTTTAGTGGCCCCGTAGGGAGCGCCACCGAAGCTCTCAGAGGTGCAATTCGCATGTGAGAGTCACGCCTGTTGCAACACACCCCCAACACGTTTCGCGGCCCCATAGGAGCCCCGCCGAAGGTCCCAATGGTACAGTTCGCATGTGGGCGTCACGCCCGTTTCGGCACACCCCTCACACATTTCGTGGCCCTGTAGGGAGCTCCACCGAAGGTCTCCGCGGTACAGTTCGCATGTGGGCGTCACGTCCGTTTCGACACACCCCTCACACGCTTCGTGGCCCCGCAGGGAGCTCCACCGAAGGTCCCATTGCTGCAGTGCGACACGCCCATTTCGGCACACCCCTCAAACGTTTCGTGGCCCCAATAGGGAGCTCCACCGAAGGTCCCAGAGGTGCAGTTCGCACGTGGGAGTCACGCCCGTTTCGGCACACCCCTCAAACGTTTCGTGGCCCAATAGGGAGCTCCGCCGAAGGTCCCAGTGGTGCAGTTTGCACGTGGGCGTCACGCCCGTTTCGGCGCACCTCTCACACGTTTCGTGGCCCCGTAGGAAGCTCCACTGAAGGCCCCATTGCTGCAGTTCGCATGTGGGCGTCACGCCCGTTTCGGCACATCCCTCACACGTTTCGTGGCCCCGTCGGTAACTCCACCGAAGGTCCCAATGGCGCAATTCGAATGTGGACGTCACGCCCGTTTCGGCACACTCCTCACACGGTTCGTGACCCTATAGGGAGCCCCACCGAGGGTCCCAGTGGGAAGGTTCACATGCACCCGCCCACCTCCCCAAATCGACACGCCCCTCACACTTTTTGTGGCGCCACAGGGAGTTCCACCGACGACGATCCTCACAACTGCGGCGCTCACAACTGCATCTGCTGGGGTCCTTCGCCGGGCTGAGTTTGCATCTTCCTCCTGTAGAGGGGCACGCCCGCCTTAGAAATACTTTTGGGACGGAAAACCGGCCCCGAGGAATGGGCCCGCAGCTCCGGGGCCGCGGACCAGCAGCCTGAGCTGCGGCGCCTGCCATCTACGCACGGACCTGTCCGGTGGTGCGTTCCGGGCGGGTCCAGCCGTGGCGACGAGGCCCAGAAGAGCCCCGCAAGGAGAGGGGGGCTCCGGAAGATGGCCCCTGCAGTTAAAGCCAATTGAGTGAGGGGGCCCTGGGACACACAAATGAATAGACACGAATAACCAGCTTCCCAACATTTTCCCATATTCTCTGGGTTTGTGTCTTCCCCCCCTCTTCCCATAGTTTCCCACATTTTCTGGGGAATCGACGATCAATTGCGTCTGTGTGTTTTTGCCCCTCCTGACAATTGAAAAGGGCACCAGGGGCCTTTTCCTCGGGAGCAACGAAACGGAGCCTCCGCGCAACTGAACCTCCCCACTCGGGAGGTCAGCGTCTGCAGCTCTTGAGGAGAGGCCGAATTGGAGAGGCCCTGGGACACACAACTAAATACACACAAATGGCAGGATCCCCCATATTTTCCCAAATGTTCGAGGTTTTCGTCTTCCCCCCCTCTTCCCATATATTCCCACATTTTCGGGGGAATCGACGATTAATTGTGCCTGTGTTTTTTAACCTCCTGACGAATGGTGACCTGTTTCGATTGGCTCCACTGCGGCAGTCCCAGCCCAGCCGAAAGAGCGCAGTGGTCGAGGCAGCGGGGGCATCGGCTACAGCAGGAGCTCGACCACAAGAGGCCTTCCACCAGAAACCCACCCCTGAAACTCTGGGGTGCTCGTTGACTTTGTGTTTGGCGTGAGAACGCCACGCTCTCCACAGCAGAACCAGCGAAACCCAAGAAACCCAGGGCGCCAGTTTCTTGGCATGGGCTTCCACCGCACACGCCAGAGATCAAGGGGCCCAAGGACACACAAATGAATACACACGCACACACACAGAAAAAGATTCCCCATATTGTCCCACATGTTCTGGACTTCTGTCCTCCCCCCCACTCTTCCCATACTTTCCAACATTTTCATGGGAGTGGACGATTACTTGTGTCTCTGTGCGTCTTTTCCCCTCCCGAGCGACCCCGGGCGAGAGCGACCTCTGGCGCGCGGCTTGCCGGTCGCTGCGTGCGATGCGGCGGCAGCGGCTGCGCGCCCGGACGCCGAACAGAACGGTGCGCGCTGTGCGCGCGATGCGGTTCGGCAGCCGCTGCCCCGTAGAGGAGAACGAACCGTGCACACGCACCGATTTGGGCCAGGCCCGTCCTGAGCCCAAGATCGGTGCATACGCCCTCCTGCCCTGGCCAGGAGGGCACATGCACCGATCCTGGGGGCAGGGATGGGCCTGGCCAGGACCGGTGCAGGTGCACAGTTTGTACATGGTTCTCTTCGCCCGATGCCCAGCCGAAAAAGCGGAATGGTCGAGGCAGCGGGGGCATCGGCTGCACGCAGGAGCAACGCCGGGCAGGAGCGACCTTTGGCACACGGCTCGCCGGTCGTTGCGTGCGACACGGCAGCAGCGGTTGCGCGCTTGGACGGCGCCAACGACGTCGGCGGCAACGACGACGGCGACGACGACGCCGACGACGACGGCGACGACGTCGGCGACGACGACGACGACAACGGTGACGAAGGCGGCGGCGGCGACAACGACGACGACGACAACGGCGACGGCGGCGGCGGCGGCGGCGGCGACGGCGACGGCGACGACGACGACGACGACGACGACGACGACGACGACGACGACGACGACGACGACGACGACGGCCACCCGCCGCGCCCTCCGAAAGCCGCGCACCAAAGGCCCCGCCCCGCAGCGAGGGGCCACTCGGCCTCCGAAGCGCACGGGCCTTCGGGGGCGGCCGCTCGGCACGCTCCGGTTGACGCTCCTCCGGCACGCTCCTGGCGAGGCGCAGCTGCTGGAACGCATGCCGGGGCAAGGAAGTCACGGCGAACATGCCCCCGGAGGAGGAGGAGGAGGAGGAGGAGGAGGAGGAGGAGGAGGGAGAGGGGGAGGAGGGCAAGTTAGGTGCGCTCGCGTCAACATCTGACATCCTACCCCTCCCTCCCATCCCATACCATGGCGCCGATTTTCTCTATATCCGCGGACGCGTGTCGTAGCGGACCTGTGGCTCCGCGCGCGTGTGCGTAGTGGGTGGTGGTGCGCGTGCGTGCGTGCGTGTGTGCGTGGTTGTGGTTGTTGTGGTGGTGGTGTGTATGTGTGTGCGTGTGTCGCGTTGCTGTGGTGTGACGTGGCGTGGTTGGGTTTTGGTGGTTTGGCTATGTGATGGATGGCGGTGGTGGTGGCGTGCGTGGTGTGTGTGTGTTGTGTGGTGTGTGCGTGTGGTGTGTGTGTGTGTGCGTTGTTGTGCGTGCGTCGTGTGGTGCGAGTGTGTGTGACGCGGTGTAGCGTGGTGGTGGTGTGGGGTAGTGCGGTGGTGGTGGCGGTGCGCGATGGTGGTGCGCGTGCGTGCGTGCGTGCGTTGGTGGGTGGAAGTGGCGGTGGGTGTGCGTGCGGCGGGGCGGGGCGTGATGCGGCGCGGTGGTGGCGGGCGGATGGCGCGCGAGAAAAAGGCC